AAACTCCAATAAGTCACTTACGTCAATTCCACCAACACCGAACGATTGCTTGACTTTAGAACCGATAGAGCAATTGAGACAGCCCGGTCAACCACGACTCTTTAATAGTATGGTGACATGACACGTAACAGTCTCACTATCAGAGCTCGCATAGAGGGATGAAAGGCAAGAGGTCACCAAAGGTCCAAAGGGTGTTCCCACGCATTCGACTTCCATTCAGTATGGCAGTGGCGTATTGAATGTGTATATGGTCTATACAGTGACAGGCGTGTGAATCATGCGTTAGACATGGATGGTCAAAAAAGTCAAAAAAAGTGTCCTAAAAATCTTCGAATTCCTCCCACGCCTCAGGTAGGCGCTAGGCAACTACGAGCACAACAAGGTGGAACTATGGATCAGTCGAAGCGGAGAGAATGGCGTTTGTTCCAGATGGCTTCTGCTATAGGTTAGAGGTTTTTTAGAGCGTATCAGTTTCACAGTATTGGTCCATACATTGACAATAAGATCCAATTGATCACTTGCAGTCACTGTTCAACTGGTGATCCTAGTATTCTTATCCACTAAATTATTTCCATGGTTCCCACTCACCGCTGCTGAATTTTACACCTTTTATAGTGCCCTGAGGTGAATATTACTTGACATTATCACCAATTTCAATTTCAATTATTTGTTAGTGCCCATTATTGATTCAGTATTTACAATTTTTTAATAGCATCTAATATTTTTAGGGAGTTTTTCTGTGTAAACTACTGTTTGCTCCGAACTCAAGCCTTTTCTCTACTCTAATCAAGATTTCAGTGACATCTACTCGGGTGCCAGCGTATATTTTCTGTGGATTTTCAGTGACGCTCTTCGACAGTACGTCTACATGAATCTCAATATCAAAAAGCGGGCAATGAATTCAATCATTTCAATTGCATCAACTAAAGATTGAAATAAATCATTTCCTAATGTCAACCGTATTAAACAAAATATAATTCAGGACAAAGCCTGATATTGTTGTAGGGCTAGCGGTGATGCCGGAATCATCTTGATTAGGCCCACTCAGACAAGATAATAAAACAGTAGCTTCCAGATGGCCCACACATACACAGCAAAGACGATGAGTCTTCAAAAAAGACAAAAACAGTTATACAATGCCCTACGGCACCAACCACAATCGAGTAAGCATGTTGGAAATTCAAACAACTAGTC